CTGGGAGAAGTTCCTGGAATTTTAGAAAATGTTGGTCTACTTGGAAGACCAAGAAATTATATGCCTCCTTTTGTCAGTTCTAAGGACTACATAACCTATCATTTCTCTTTTTATGAAACTTTCACTGCCAGGAGGTGGAGAGCCCAATTTAACATTCAGGTGCAGTAACCAACTAATTTAGATTCTTAGTAGAACAATTTCTCCCTTAATATCTCGCCCTCCCCTGAGGACCCTGCTTCCCCCTGAGCCTTCTCTTGTGGAAGTGGTTTTCTCTCACATATTCCTTATACCTTCAGGTCGGTGGGGGCGGGGGTGGAGTGAGTATCTGTGTCTTTCTTATTGTCTTTGCCACTTTCACATGGTTTCTGCCTCAAAAACCAGCAGCTTATCATGCTATTCTACTGGGTCACTCTCCCTCATTTTTTGAAGGTTTTAGCTCAGTAATATTCTCTGACATTACTCATAGGGCTGATAATTTTCTGAGCAGACAATCATCACACGACCTGAACTGTGGGTTCCATAGTCTTTTCTTTTGCAATGATCTTGTGTTCTACCTTAGTCACTTGGCTCCCTATTGTACTCAAGACCCTGTTATTAGATTCTTCGTTCTCGGCTCCATACTCCACTCTCCATTCTCTCATTCCTGTCAGATCATTTGGGCTTATCTCCTTTCTTTCTATCTAGCTCACTTCTCCTGGAACCCTGAGGCCTCCAATAAACTTTGACCATTCAAACCACCTTGTCACTTAAAAAACCCAACTTTTTATTATGAACATTTTCAAATGTACCCTAAAGTAGAAGAGAATGGTACAATAAATCTCATGTTTACACCGCTCAGTCTTAAAAATCATGTTTCTGCTGATATTTTATCTACCTATCTATTTTCCTGTCTATCATCATCATCATTTTTGTTCATTTTGTTTATGTTTTCACTGTCATCCATTCACCTCATTTTCTCACTCCTTACTTAGATTAGATGTAATTGGCAATTATAGTCACTCCCTTCTGATGGCATTTTGGTGAGGTGTTGGGTTTAGAGAATGGGGTCCTTGGGTTACCTGTGAGAAGTTTCATCAGAGCTCCCCTTTCATTGGCACATGACAAGTTTCTCCACAAAGCAGAGACTTTTGGTTACACCCAAAAGGGCAGGCTTATTATTAAAAAAGAAAAAAAAAAAAAGGAGATGATGATGCTTGTACAGAAACAAGCAGGCAGAAAGAGCTTGTGTTTAGAAGGGGCAGGTTTGTTAAGAGATGCCTGCATAGACACAGCAGGCAGTTTTGGGATGAGTGCCAGTTTTGAAAGGGGTTGGTTTCTGAAAGAAACTTGCACAGTCACAGGCAGGCAGGAAAGCTGAGTCTTGCCAGTGCTGAAATTGTACTGACATACTGTTCTATTTGGGAGGGGGATCAATCTTTTGTGGAATTGTTATGCATTGCTAAATTAATTATTTCTAGGGTGTGAAGTTTGATTTGTAAGGACTGGTGATTCTCTACAATGGTCCTCCATCTCCAATTCCCCACCTCTGGTATGTGCCTACTGATACTTTCTATAGCAGTCTGATACTTTATACAGCAGTTAGTGCCTAAGGATTTTACATTTCTATAGCTGGTTTAATAACTGTGTTCATCATTTCTACCCCTACCTCCAGTTTCTGGTCTTGAGATGCCACCATCTTAAATTTTCAACTCTTCTCCATCATTTCCATGCAAACTCAACTCCGTTGCCCTATCATGCATTTTGTACACGATTAGAAAAAAAAAAATCTATCCTACCTTGTCTCACTTCAAAAGCATGACCTGCTACCCTCAAGTAGGCTACAATTATTACCTAAAGCGTCTCATATATTTCTAGCTCATTCACTGATACTCAGATGGCTATTTTGTAATTTTTCCTCTTTCTTCGAACTTCTAGCTCCCACTAAGTCATAGGGCAAGTTAGGATAATCAGGTAACTCTAAGGACATTGCAGGTGGGGACTTCAGGAGAGTTAAGGAAGGCTCCACAGACAAGGACAACAAAAATTCTAAAGGGAACTAATTAAACACCCCAGAACTAAGGTTAACAGGACATTCCAGAACGAGGACAATGAAGAAAAAAGGGCTGGGACACAGAAGCTTAGTTCTGGGCACAGAGACATTTAGGCAGTGAGTGAGACCACTGAGAAATAATCAATCACAAAGAGACTGGTGGCACTTTAGAATAATTAGTGAAAGACGGTGCATATTCCCTGAGGCACAACACCTTTGGCTTCCTTGCCCCTCCCTGGCCTAATTCAACCGGCCTGGGAGTCCCACTTTATTTCTATTCCTTTTCTCCTCAATAAACTTTTTCTTTCTCTAAACAAATCTGCCTCTTCTCGCTTGCCTTCCTGAGCATCTGTGAAGTTCCTGCTGAGACTTCGTGAGACACCAACCATGGTGGTCTAATGGCTGGGGCTCAGTGCTGCCCCTGCAGCCTGGGATCCATTCCTGGGTGGGAGACTACACCTGAAAATTTGCAATTCCGGTATCACCACTACTCTATGTACCACCTACCCACATCCAAACCCACATACCCTGCCTTCATTTACATATCTATGAGTTTACCTGATTCTATCTGAAGTCACTTCTTCTACTATGTGTGAGCTCTTACCCCTGCTAACCTACTCAAGGACATTGCTCTAACATTAATTCTTCCTTCTTTGTGTCTTCAGTGTTCCTTTTCTATTGTTTAATCCCCCAAATATACAAATTATCTATAAATTTTCTCAGCTTAAATACAAATAAATAGCAACAAAATAAAACTTCTAATTTCATTTCTTCCTCAAGCTACTATTCCATTTCTGTTTACTTTTATAGCAAATTGCTCTAAGGAGTTGTCTAAATATGTAATCTCCAATTCTTCCATTTGTCCTCCACCGCTCTCAGACTTTCTTCTAAACTTTTTTAAAAGTGCTCTTGTCAGGGATACAAAGGCTATAAGGATGCCTACTCATTGCTAATCTCAGTGGTTAAGTCTCAATACTCATCTCTCTTGGCAAAGCATTACATACAAATAATCATTTTTTTTTGTTCCTGAAACATTCTTCAGGGAATTCAAGGTCACTTTCTCATTTGTCTTTCGCTCTCTCACTATTTCTGAGACTTCTCTTTTGGTCCCACTTCGTATCTTTCAATATTGGAATGCACCAGGATTCAGTCTTTTCTTCTCTATTTAGAGTTAATTTGTTCAAGATTTAATGTCTTTAAAAAACAACTCCCAAATGTCTGTCTCTAACCCAGTACTCTCCTGAACTCTAAACTCACATTTGTAATTGCCTGCATTTATAATAGTCCTTGTTTCAGTAAATGACAACTCCATCCTTTTATTTCCAGAGGCACCAGGCCATAGACAATCTTTGATTTCTCTTTGTCATAACCTTTTCTGTGAACACACTTTAATGACTATAACCAATTATCCAGAATCTGACTACCTTTCATTCTGTCTAAACCACCATCATCTCTTGCTTGTATTGTTATAATTGTCTTCCAACTACTTTTGTTGCTTCTGTTCTTTGAATATTGAAAGTATGTTCCCAACAGTGTCCAAAATAATCACTTAAAATGCACTTCAGCTCAATTAATGCCACTCACTAAAGCCTCCACTTCTTTCTCATCTTATATGGGTAAAAAACAAATCCCTTACAATTATTGACAAAGCAAGCACACCTGCCTCAGATATCCTCTGACTTTCTATCATGAACTGACCACATTTTCTCTGTGAGGACTTGACCTTGGCCGTTCTTTCTATCTGGAGTGACTGGTGCTTTTACTTTTTCCAGATATTTTTTTCTTTTATTTTTAAAAAAAGAATTATTTTATTGATGCATACACGATCTGGGGTGCAGGCCAGAGGTGCAGAAAGGGTGAGAGGATTCACCAAAGACAGAGTGGGTAGCAGAAAAGGCATATCTATTGAATTACACTGCTGAGGGGAGCAGCGGGCAGGATAGGAGAGGTCTGCCTCCTGATCTTTTTCAAATCTTTATCAGAAATATTTTCCTTGTCTACCACATTTGGAGCCCCCAAGCTAAAGCTATCTAGTTCTGTTCTTGTTTTATTTATTACAGAGCACTTTTCACCAAGTAATGTATTACATATTTTCATATTTATTTGTTTATAGTTTGTGTCTTTTCATAGAATATCCAAACCAAGGCAGAGATTTAGTCTTCTTGTACACTTTCCTATCCCCAGTGGGGTGAACAGTGTTAGCATAGAAAGTAGTCCAATAAGTACTTGCTGAACAAATGATAGAATTAATAAATGTTTTATTTTGTTTTCCAACTTATTTTATTCTTTAAGTCTTTAAAAATCAGGGAATACACTGTGAATGGTTGGACTTTTATGAACATTAAATCTAAATGATGTTAATATTTCATTGGACAGTTGAAAAGACCTCAAAATCATGGTTAAATTGAACAATTATTGAAAACATACAGCATTCTATTTAATTCTCATAATGCTTTGTAACATTACTTCTACATTAAACCTAAAAAGACAGAAAATAAGGAAAATTAAATAATTTACTGAAGAATAGTCAATAAACAACAGAGCTGAATTCAAAGCTCGGTAGAACTTGTGATCATCAAGCTCCTTCGAATTCCCTCTATAAGCAAGCCATCTAAATCCGTAAGGAATAAATCAGTTGTAATAATGCAATGTTCAGTGCCTAAGATTAACTTCTGAATACTAGAAAGAATACTGGACTGAGAATTAAAAGACTTGAGGTTAAATAGCTAATAGTGATGTGATTTTGGATGGTTTGTTAACCATTCTGGGCTTCAGCTCTCTCAGCCTCAAATTGCTTTGTAGAATTAAGAGAATTAATGTATGTACTAATGCTCTACAAACTGTAAAGTATTTTATAAAATAACTTAATTTTAAAATAATTTATACTAATGGGTATGCCCTAAAATGTGAGTTCTGTGGATTTATAGTCAAATGCTTCAACAGTTCAGTATAAATTCTTTGCAAATTAAGAATGCTAGCAATTTATCTGGCATCTTGGGAGAACCCAAGTTACTTTGATGGTGGGAGAGTTATGGTAACCACACTTGAGGGAAGAAATCCTGTATTGTCAAAATCAACAAGGATGTAAAACAATGGTACTTCATTAAAAATGTTTTGTTTTTGCTTTTAAAAAGCAGAAATCACCAGATTGAGCTGGCTACACTAAAAACACGGGTGAAAAGTGCCAACATTATGACATGCACTGCCCTTTTCTTTCCTACCAGGTGGATGGCTCATCCTCTCTGCCTTCACGCTGCAGCTGGTGGCAGCCTGCCCTGCATCATGTGTGGTGTGCACTGAAGATGTAACACTCTGTCACCAGCTAACCTATATAGTAGGTAATAAAACCAACTACTCTAACAAGCAAGGCTCAGTGTGCCTGGAAAATTCATTGCCTTGCCTTTCAATGTATGAACATTCTCTGGGCTTAGCCTGCAAGAGGTAAACTTTTAAAGAAGAACCTTTCACAGTGACTAAAAATTACTGTTCTTGGTGGTCTCAACCAAAACTATTTTAAAACCTTCAGAGGCAACAGGGATATTTTGTTATTACAAAAGAATACTTCCATTTAATGCAGTTGCATGTTATTTATTTTATTTTATTTTTTATAAAAGAAAAAATAGATGACTTTAATTACATTTTTCCCCCCACATCTAGTGCAGATTTGAAACATACCACTGGCTGGAAGATGTATCAATAATCAGAAACCTGAACTGCAATTGTTCAGCATTAGTAAGATTAAGTGATGTACAAGCAAAACAGATTATTATCAAAGTGCATCTAATTTTGAAAGTCTAGTTTTTTTTTTATTGGTAGTAAATGAGCTGTAGAAATGCTAACAAGATACACTGCCTGTATTCATTACATATTGCTTGCTTAAGTCAACAATTTAATAAGACACCTTATTAACAAATTTGACGAGAATGTGATTTACATCCTGATATCTAAAAAGAGATAAACAAGCTAGAAGCTCTGCCAATGGAAAAATTTCAAAAATAAGTCTGAGTTAAGATGGAGTAGGGAATAATCATTTCTTAAATCCTATAACTGAGAATTAGGAGATAGACATTATTGTCATCTCTGACAAGAGAGAGACAATTTCAAGACTACCTGGTATGTACCCTGCTTCCAATCACTTAACTCATTTAAACTCCCACCTTCTCAAATGGATTTCCTGACTTCACTGCATTTTTTTTTCCTGATCAGTGATAGCTGACATCTGCACGAAACAAATATTGTTTGTATGGCTGCGTCTCTCTGTCTCCTTTCTCATTTACAGAGTGCCACATTTGTGAGGTTAGATTTCACAAACACAGAGACGCAAATGGATGACTTGGGAGTGGCGCTTTTGTCTAGTTCTAGATAAGAAGCGATTGGCAGAAAAAAATGGCCTGTTTCCTCAGATCGGCAAATCCCTAGAGGTCTGGGGGTGTGTAAAAACAAACTCCCTGTCCCCACCTCACGAGCAATGATGAGGGGAACAAAATGCCAAAATGGCCAGAATTAATAGAATTCAAATAACCAGTAATAAATACTTTCAAAAAACAAACATGATTGAAGCTTGCTTGTGCGGCAAAGATGGGAGCGATTCTTCCAATAGAAGGCACGCTGAAAATCCTTTGTCTTTTACACTTTTAAATCTCTTTGTTTTAGTGATGTAGTCTGAATTTCATAAAGGAATTGTGATTTGCTTCCCCCATGGTTGATTGTTCTAATATCACCTGCAGACCTCCCAGGGACAATGGACTCTTCCATCCTCCTGACACTGTCATTTGCAGTCAAAACAATTTTAGCATGATAAAGATGTGTTACAATAACTCCTGATTATAATACATCTTTATTGAGTTAAAATGCTTTGATTTCTAATGACAGAGCAGTGATAGCTCCGAGGTGATTATGGTGAAGGGATTTAACAGCTGGAGGCCCTGAATACCACCTGTCATCACATGATGGACTTCATTGGAGGGAACAGATATTAGACAGGAGGCCAAGATGGCCAGACTATAATGAGAACCCCACTGACAGATCCTTGGGTTGTCTGGAGAGACTATAGATCCTAACCAAGTTGCCAACTTTTAGCCTGGAGCTAAAAAACAGAAACCAAAGCTTCCTCTCACACTCTCCCCCTGCCCCCCAACACCCAACCCACATCTTTATGTTTGAGAGAAAAGATGACTGACTATACAGCATAAATATACATTACTAGTGAAAAACATTTTAGGAACCTCAGACAAGGATCAGCTCTTGGGTGAATCTGTCCTGGGCCAGTAAGGCTGGATCAGGTCTGTACAGTCTCACAGAGAGGAAGCCTGAAAAACCACCTTGAAAATGCCGAATCAAAACAAAACACATCAATGACAATAATCCCAGACAATGAATTAACTTTGACATCTAGAGGAACAGATGGGTTTTTGTTTCTCAAATAAACATGTCATAGTAACAAAGAATATAAAAATCCATCATTGTGATAAAGAACCAGCTTCCGTTTAAATTGAGGAATCAGAGAGTCATTTTCATTGTGTTTATTGTTCTTACCCCGGTGATAAGATTGCTCAGAGGGTATTGATTATCTCTGCTTCCCACGGTACTCCCCCTCTTACTCAGGTGTATCTTTCTTCTAGTCTGTGCTTTTCTCCCCCACAGCAGCCCCTGTGACCACGAGAGTTTTAATCATCACTGATGGGTACCTCTCCTCTGTAGAGAGCAGAAATCTTTCCCTCCTGTTTAATCTTGCCCTGCTCTCCTTGGGCAGAAACAACATTGAGGATGTTCAGGAAGATGCCCTCTACGGCCTTTCCAAGCTGCGGACATTGTTGCTGGAGCACAACCAAATATCCAGCTCCTCCCTTACCGACCACACCTTCAGCAAGCTTCGCAACCTGCAGGTGCTGGTGCTTAGCAATAATGCTCTCCACACCCTGCGAGGGTCCTGGTTCCGAAACACCAGGGGCCTGACCCGGCTCCAGCTGGATGGCAATCAGATCACGAATCTGACAGACAGTTCTTTTGGGGGCACTCATCTGCACAGTCTCAGGCATCTGGATTTATCTAACAATTTTATTTCCTACATTGGGAAAGATGCCTTCCGGCCCTTGCCTCAACTGCAAGAAGTGGATCTTTCCAGAAACAGGTTGGTCCACATGCCAGATGTTTTTACACCACTGAAGCAGTTAAGCCTTCTGAGCTTAGATAAGAACCAGTGGAGCTGCACTTGTGATCTCCACCCACTTGCCCGGTTTTTAAGAAACTACATTAAGTCTTCTGCTCACACGCTCAGGAATGCCAAGGACCTAAATTGTCAGCCATCTACCACAGCTATAGCCACTGCAAAGAGTGTGCTCAGACTTTCTGAGAGCAACTGTGATTCCAAGGCTCCCAATCTCACTCTGGGTCTCAAGGACAGAAGTGCCCTCCTCCCAGGGCAGGATGTGGCCCTGCTGACTGTCCTTGGCTTTGCAGGTATGCCAGGGAGATATGTACCCTCCTCTTCTCCTGTCTCTTGTCCATGTTCTTGAAGAACAATAAATGATGCCTTTCTTAAGCCATCGGGGACATTTGTTAGGGTTTGTGGAAGGAGAGCTTGCCAGTAGATATGGGAGGATGTTATAGATTGCATGGTTTGGCACAGATTGCAAAAATTCCCTGCTGCAAAGGAACTAACAGAGGAAGGGGTATTGGACCAGAAGGACCAAAGTATTTAAAGGCAGTAGTCCTGGTATAACTAGCACTTTGGTCCTGAGTAATTTAACTGGCTAGTTTTTTGTTTGTTTTTTAAAGATTTATTATTTATGCATACAAGGACTGGGGACCAGGGGGTGAGAGGATTCACCAGAGACAGAGTGGGGAACAGAACAGGCAGATTGACAGAAATACACTTCTGAGGATGGCAGCTGGCGAGACAAGGAGAGGTATGCTGTGCCATGTGGATAGCTTCCTTGGCCGGCCAGGGATTAAACTCCTGCTGCAGAGGCTGGGGATAGTTTCATAGTGCTGTGCTTAACCCCTTGCACCACCAGGGAGGCCCAACTGGCTAGTTTTATTGTCTGTCATGCATGAATAGTATCTATATTTCATCAATCATCCATTTGCTGATGGTTGCATTCACTAAGTTGCTAGGAGATAGGGATTAAAAAATTGATGCCACACCATCCCTTTCCTCAGGACACATCTGTGTGTCTCTCCATGGTATAGTAAGAATCAATGAGCTTTACCAAGTGCACAAGAAGATTCTATGATGACAACCACAAGCATCCTACTTCGTAGCGGTACAGTGCAGTGCAGTGACTAAATGTGAGCTCTGCAGTTGGAGCACTCAGGTTTGAATCCTGGCTCTCATCTCCCTTGCTGTGTGAATTTGGGAAAGTTATTTAACCTCCATGCTTTTCTCCTGTTTGGGGGTTTAGGATTCAAAGAATTCAGTTTGTCTAATTCTTCTGCACTTGGCCCATAAGGTCACAGATTGACTAAGGAGAAGATAACATTCAATTCTTTATATTTTCTATGGTATTTAAAAAAATTAAGCTATGTGTCAGCTGTCATATTGCCTCTCAATGAATGAATGATATAAAGTGATGCTTGGTGTTATTAAAGTCCAAATATGTATGAGATTTTTGGAGTTATATACCTCAATGTGTGTCTCCTCCCCCCTCCATGCTGGCAGCACAAGGTGAAATCCTCTCTGCTTGTGGGTAACCATGGTGATAGGAAGTACGCCTTTGTGTGGTGGAGAGAAGTGATGGAGCTCCCCAAAGTTGGGAGACCAGAGGTTTGCAAATAGCATCTTGGACTAAATTGATGTATTTTGAATATGCTCTATAAATAATTATTCCTTAGCATGTTTCCAGTAAATTAATTGAGCATCAGATTTTTAATTCCTAACAGTTATGCTTTTAATCAGGATACATGGAGAAGAATTAGTTATAGAAAATAGAACTACTGCCAGTAGTAATCAAACTCATTTGGAAATGAATTCAAATCCTCTCAGAAAGAAAAATTGTTTTAAAAACTGTATAATGATGTGCTAAGAGAATTTACCATAAAAGACAAAAACAATTGGGCGACAAGGAGTTTTTGGCTGCATGTGCTTCTTAAAATACTAGTCCTAGGGGTTCTTTAATAGATATTCCAGTAATACACACACAGAGCTGCACATCTAAACAATATGTTTGGGGGTTCAAACTGAATTGAGTAATGCTGGATGAAACAAAGTTAACTAGGCATCTTTCCTGCAGCATTTCTCATTGCTTTTCATTTTCTAAGTATTATGAATCTTTTAAGAGGAAGATACAATGTAAAGCATTTCTCAAACTTATTTGACCATAATTCCTTTTTTTCACAGAATATTTTATTGAATTAGTGTTTTGTAGGTCATCATTTTGAAAATGTTCCCACAGGGTAATTTTCAAGGTATCTTTTATATCTATTTTCAGAAAAGATTTTTCTAAGTTAACAGCTCTGCATTAATGTAGATATAGATATGCATTCTGGAGGATTCCAAAGGTTTTGTCAAAATGATAAGAAGCTTATATGAATGGATAAATTTTGACAAATTGTAAAATGTGATTACATACATGTTAGGTAACAGTGTGTGAAATTATGGTAATACATCTGAGTAATTGTTTAAAGTACGGTTTTTAAAAGATTCCTTTATTCCTTCTGAAGTAAAAGTGTGGTCTATTATGTGTACCTATACATAGTGGGAAAAAGACTTAAAGCTATAATTTGGCATCTGAACCCCCTTTTTTCTAGCTATAGATAAATCATCACAATTCGAAGTAATATAAATAATCATATTCAGTGACTTTAAAACTAATAAGTGGTTATTTGATGTCAAGAGGATAAAAAGGGGAAAATTTCATGAAGCCCTAACACGTTTCCATTACTTCAGTGACAGCATATTAATTTTGTTTTTTAAAAATTTTGTTTTTCCAACTCGGAAAGACTGTTTATCACTTTTTAAAAATAGCAACAATGCCCATGGCAATGAAAATTCAACCATCTTCTTAATAGCACGTTCAGTCTGCCTATAAGCTTCATTTGCTGCTTTTGCTCTCTGCACTAATGGAAAGTGACCATACCTGACTGGTAATGCGATACAGTTAGAGCTCAGGCATCAACAGAGAGTGAGTGGTTCCTTGCCATTTACACACAATTAGAGGAGAAACATAATCCCATAATTAGAATATGCCTATTCTTATTTCAATGGCTGGTGCACGTGTTGAAGAAAATTTAGGTCTTTCTTTTATAATTTGGTTAAGTAACTGGATCAGCCCTATAAGTGGCTATTTGGCATAAAAGCCTGACACCTTGATGCTTCCTATCCTGTGACCTAGAGGTAAAAGGGAAAGCTTTCAGGAAGCTCTAACATGTTTCCAGTACTTCAGTTCTCTTGATGATTTTTTATTTTTATTTTTTTGCCCTAGCATCTTTGTTTGTAGGGCCTCACAGTGCAATATAAAACCTAAGCAACAGCAGTAAGCAATCATAATGATAAATACAATGACAATTGTATTGACCAATTATATTGAGGACTAGTGAGGTCACTGGACCTCACTGTATTGGACATGTTATATATATTATTTTACTTACCCTATGATTGGTATTAATTATTCAATTTGGCAGAGGAGGAAAAATAAAGAAAGCTTAGGAAGCTTGCCTAAGATGTATCAAAAAAAAAAAAAAACAACACTTGAATCATGAGTTTTCTTAATCTGCTTAAGAAACAGGGAGTGTTTCTAAATTTTCATGTTTTTAACACTTTAAAACCAAAACCTTTGTTTGGAACAGAACAAACTCTAGGACCTGGCAATAGGTCCTACTTTAGATACTACTTTAAAAATGTTGTATCTGATAGAGACTAAATTATTTCAATATGTTATAGTTTCTTCAACAATGTATTGTGGTAAATAAATTTAAATGAAGTTTATAAGACCTTGAGATCTGGTAATTTATATAAAGTTTGGAGGATTTGTTAATCTTTATTTTTAGTAGAAAAATAAAATAACTATAACATCTTCCCTTTTATTTCAAGTTAAAAAACTATCATGTTCCCAATATAGTTTGTCTGCAACTGAGAAAACCAGGCATAGTGTAGTCAGCCAACGAGCCTAGAACACTGCTTATTTTTCATTCATTGTCCTCATTTCCAGAGTCAGGGAACTGAATTCTCTATGGGAACTGACTTGCCCTAATTCATACAGCAAGTTAGAAGCCGAACAGGACTCAGAACACAGAGATCCTAACAATCTATGCTGAAGCCATGGCTTCCTAATAGACAGCATTGTGGGGATTTTGTAAGACATGACCACTCAGAGCATTTTATTATAAGAATTCATAAACATACTTCCTTCTATTAATTTAAGAATATTCAGTAAACATTTCTGGAGTGCCTCCTGCATGCCAGAGTTGTGGGCGCAGGAAATACAATGTCAAACAACACAGAAAAGGTCCATTTCCTCTTAGTACTTCATTCTAGCAGGAGAAGACAGACAATGAACAAGCAAATGGATAAGTAAACACAATAATTTCATACTGTTAGTAGTACTAATACAAAAAAGAAATCATTGTGATTGAGAAGGAGCTCTTTGTTGAGGTAGGAAATAGTGAGGTTAGGAGTTTAGACTCTGCATTTGAGTTTGAGAAATACTGCCTTTTACAATGTTATGAAGAGGATAAACCCCACCAACATAGAACATGAAATGACAGTACCAGGCGGTCTGAGATTAGATGTCAGTCATTTTATTGTGGGAGTTCACTGAAAGGAATGATCTTTGAAACATGGCAAAAACAGTAAAGATGTTGAGAAACTTGGAGGTATTGACTTATATTCTAATGTATAAATAAAATTCAAATATGTAGAGATAGAGCAAAGTATTCTAGGCATACTGAGAGCATACATGAGAGTTTAGAAGTTACACTTTGAGACTAATTAAAGAGTTTGAAGCATAGTGTTTGAATGTGGAAAGTAATGAAAAACAAGACTAGGAAGGGAGGTTATGGCCAGATTGCACTGTCTTGAATGCCAAGAATTTCGGCCTTTTATGTTAATAGGAAATCAATGACATATTCTCAAGTAAGGGGTGAATCTTTAGGGATGATGAAAATGTGGTAATAGCACATAGAATCAATTTTTCTTTTTGGAAAGGATGTTATAGGGAATTCCAAAGTATATGCTAATTGTGGTCTGTTTTTATTGACTATGAGACTAAAAAATGGAAAATATGGAATTAAAATGGTTTGCTATTGTTTATATTTAATTCAGGAGTTATTTTAGCTTGAATGAATTTCAGTCCATTTTCAGACCATTTTTTCTACCAAAGAGATTCCAGATAATATTGTTTCTTATAGCTTTTTGTAGATACAGAGAAAGATTCAAACTGGAAGACAACAGTATTGATAAAATCAGGCTGGACTGATATTTTTCCACAGACTGATGGGCTTCCCACCCATTTTGATGCCTTTTAAGCCATCAACAAACTTTATATTTATGGATTTCATATTTAGTGATTTATACGTTTCTTCCTATGATGCTATCTTTTAATGGTCTCTCTATTTGTCACAGGAGCGGTTGGTCTCACTTGCCTAGGTCTAGTTGTATTTAACAAGAAACTCCAACAAGGCAAAGCAAATGAACACACATCAGAAAACCTTTGTTGCAGAACCTTCGATGAATCCCTGTGTGCTCATGAAGCAAGAAATTACCACACTCAGGGATACTGTAACTGCCACTTAACTCAGGAAAACGAGATAAAGGTCATGTCCATTGTGGGGTCCAGAAAGGAAATGCCACTTTCACAGGAAAATACCCATCAAGCAGCACCAGCCTCTGAGTCCACAGCCCTTGACAGATCATTTAGAAAACTGAAAGGGAAAGACGATGAGACAGACAGCCCTTTCTTCTGCCTTGGTGGCAAATTGTTGCAGTCCGGATGTTCAGAGCCTCCTGAGAATAAAGTAGCTTTTAATGAAGCTGGCTTATTTACAAGATTTTGTCCAGAAACTGTTGAAAAGATAAGGAATCATGAGCCTGGGGGAGGCCAACCTCAAACTCTGCCTCAGCATGTAACAACAATAGGTGAGTTGTTCCTATTTTAGAAACTCTTACTTTGTTGAAATCCTCTGAAAGAGGTAAACTCCTTTAACTTCCTCTATAGAGGAATGCCATAAAAATCTATTCTTCTATAAATACACAGCCTGTGTGTATGTGTGGTGTGTTGACACATATTGATGTAGATGGAGATTGCCCATCCTCAGGCGTATGTCTTAGGCCTGTTGGGAAGTGAATTTTGTGACCCAACACCTAACAATGTTGTGTTTGTTTTTTTTTTTTTAAGAATTCTTTTAAATCAACAAGTAACTATAAACTAGAGACACAATTCGGGGGAGGAGAGGAGGGATTAGGGTCAAAATAAGGGGTATGGGAGTTGTATGGAGACTATAACCTAGATGAAAATGCATACATTGTGCAAAAATGAAAAATGTTGTAAAAAATATATAAAATAAAAAAAAAGAAGAATTCTTTTAAATAGCAATAGTGCTGTTAAGATTTATGGGAGGCTGAGTATTGACTTCCATTCCAGCATCCTTTGAGCTCTAATGCCAATTCTGCAGTAAGCAACCTTCCCACAGCATGACATGTTAGAAGAATGGGTCTTCTAATGCTAGTGATTCATTTCAAGAATGATGTCAAGACACATACTTTACTTGCTGAGCTGTCAGGGATGATAACTTCCCAGTCCAGGGAAAGTCAGGACTTAATTCATTGTCCTAAGTTGGGAGCCAAGTGAATCTGGCCGTGACATCCACCCACTGTACCTGGGCAATGTCAATGTTTAGGTGAAGGCAATGAATTAAATGTCTTCCTTTTTCTTCTTGAATAGTAAGGTGATGTTTTCAGACTCAGCAGTGAAAACTTTGACAGCTGCTCTGAAAAGAGGTACCTGTCACTTATTTGAATTGGTTTACAACAAGCAAAGGCTTCTCTCAGGATTTGAATGACAGAGGTGCAGCACCAAGAAATTCTTACCATGGGGATCTGGCCTTAAGGACGGATTTGGATAAGAATGAAATTATATGTTATTTCATGTGTGGCATAAGGCAGGATATGAGTTTATTCCTTTGCATTCCCCAGACTCTATTTCTTACTAGTTTCCGTGGACTGATGTTTTGACTCAAAAGACGGTGGCCAAGGAAAGAAACATCTGCTATAGAAATCAGATCAGATTGATTTTATTTTATAAAGAAATAAGCAGTTAGACTTTTGATAGAATCATACCTTAAAGATTTCATTTAGCTTCATCCAATGCCTTGACTTCTCTGTGGGGAATTCCTATGCTACAGAGAATGTGGCCTCTTAACCATTTAAAAGCCAGGTCCATCTTTCACACAAAAATCACTAAATGTCAAATCAGTACAATTACTTTTAAAACCTGAAATTCTTCTATATACAAGGTTTTATATTGGAGCTGGAGACTATAGGTGTTTGAGGAGAAAACAACCAAGACTGCAGTTGCTCTAGGATAAAAGTCAGAAAGAGGCACTATCACTCTGATTATGCCCACTAGCTTGGAAACACAGAATTATAGAATTTTAGAGGTAGAGGGGATTTCAGAGATCACCTAGTTCAATAGTTCTTAACATTTGTCTTTGAGTTACAGAACTCTTTGGGTATTTCAGAAAGGCTACAAATTCTTTCCCCAGAAGAAAGGGAGCCCATGTGAAGTTTCCATCTAGACTAATCTTCTGATATCTAAGAGACTAAGTAGTTTCCCCAAGGTCACCTGGAAAGTTGATAACAGATCTTAGATTAGAATGAAATGTTACTCTGGGGCTTAGTTCCCTGATTTCTATCTCTCATTAAACAAAAATACTTCCTCTGGATAACAAAAATTTCACAAAATAAGAGAAAATGCAGTGATAAGATATAATTTTAAATAATATGCATTGCAGCTAAGAATAAGATTTAGTATCAGACAGACTCGGGTTAAGTTTTGTCCACATCGTTTAGTTGATATGTGACTGTAGAAAAGCATTCAGTCTCCTTAAACTTATTTATTCATTTATAAAAGTAACAGAATAATGAAAACTTGTCCAGTGGATCATGTCTCTTGTATTAAATGAGATAATGAAGAATATTTAGCACAATGCCTGAGCATATGCTCAATTATTGGTAAATATTTCTATTAATATTATTTAACATATATCAGACAGATTGCTGAAACATATACCAGGCCATATTCCAATAAACTTATCCATTTAACAAATATTTAATGAAAAGTGTATTGAATGATAGAAAATAAAACAGATCTGACCTTGCTTTGATACACCATTTTTTCTCTGTTGCTGAGGTTATTCTCTGCCTGAAATCCAAGCATTACTCTATATTGTATCATATTTTTCCTAATGTTTAGTGCCAAGTGGAAAAGGAATGCAAAAAACTTACTACAGGAATTTGAAAAAGACTTAGATATTATTTACATTGAAATTTATGCTGATAACAATTTAAGGATATAAAACTATAAACATTTTTATTTCTAATTCTACCACTTTTAAGTCAATATCACAAAATATTAAAATGTAGCCATAAAGAATATCATTGCAGACACATCAACCTGCCAAATATCCTTTGTGGGTTTGTTTAAAAATTAGAAAATATTCAGCAATTTCCACAATCAGTGGAGTCACTTTTGCACCTTTTATAAGGTTTCTAAGCATCTGTTTGGTTGGGCTAATAAAACTCTGCTCAGTGCTAAATTCCTACATTTATTGTTCAGCAGATATCAGCAGTGACACATTTAGTAGAAGATATGCAACATCCGCTTCAGCCTTGGCAAGAGAAAGTCTTGAAAAGCATTTAACAAATGAATCATGGCAGCCTCCAATAGAAAAAGAAGACAATGGCTTACAACCTCACAGGCAGAGACATTTTAGTATAAGCTCATCATCCAAGCCTTGTGAGCTCAAGGAACACTGTGTAGAAAGGATCCTACAAAAACACAGATCAAAATATGATGATCCTTGTGGACTATTAAAACAGAGCAGGCCCAGGTGTTTTCAGCCAAACAATTCTCTTATCTGTAAATATGTGCCCTGTGATCAATTTCCAGATTATGTGAGAGAAAAGAAGCCAAATCATAGAGAACATTCAAAGCCTGAGAATGAGCAAATCCAAATTAACAGCGCAATAGAAAAATTCCTTATGAGGAAGGACAACATGGAGTTATCGAGTTTACCAACAAAAATCAAGAGAACATATACCTTAAAGAGGGTTAGCATCCATGATCCTGATTTAGTAGAAAAAAATAGGTTGGTGATGTCACCCAAAACATCAACCCATTGGAAGCAGCAAAAAAATCAAAGTAAACACCTGACCAATTTGGATCTCAGAAAATGTAACAATCCTCAGGAGAGACACAAAGGAGGAAAATGGTTTGGTTATCCACATATTCTGAAAAAGAAGAGAGCCAACCAATCTGACCTCAAAGGGAAAATTAAAGGAAAAAAATTAAACATAAAATTAAATTTGCATCCTTTGAAAAGATCCAGAGTCCATCCAGAAAAATCCTTGCCAGAACTTTCAAAGAAACACAAACAAGTATTATTATTTCCTAATTCATTACCTACAACTTCTGAGAAAGAAGCCAGAATAAACCTTGAGTCCTCAACAGATTTTCCCCAACATCCAGGGAGTAGCAAATATGTTCAACCCACTTCAAAGAGGCTGACTCTCGAACGTGACCCCAAACAGACTGGACATTTCAAAAAAAACACTAAAAAGGCCCCTTTGCTGAGTGCTAACAACTTGTCTGTGGTCAGCCAGAGCTCTGTGAAAGGTAACGGTTACCGTACAGGTCACATTCCAGATGGAAACCCCCCAACATTACCAGAGCCTGTACCCATCATTGCTGAGTCACACTCTCAACTCTCCATTGAGCAAATTGGAGGGGCAACTGACCTCTTGTTACAAGTTCCTAGTTACTTACCAAGTTCTTGGAAAAATGCAAGAAGTGAGGTTTTGCCATGCCACCATTCTAAGGGGGCTACCGATCAAGGAGCAATGGAGCCCACTGAGCCAGACAAATCCAAGACCAGTGCACTAGACCAGTGTTCTCTGTCTCTGGGGAATCAAATACAAATTCTAGGTGTCCACAAGACTGACACCTACAAGGAATACACTTCAGATCAAAATCAAACTTTACAAAATGTAGAGAAAGACTCAAGACATGACCAACTTGGAAACAAAGAAAAAATATTAATGGCGACACAGAAAATATCACACCAAATTGTGGAAGCTTGCATTGTGGATAAGGGAAGTGATGCAGGAAAAAACCTTCCTGAAACAGAAATTTATGATTCCTCTCTCACTCCCCAGTTACAATCCAAGGACAACCTAATGCACATGAAGCCAAATCCTACTCCATATCAAAATAGAATGGAGCTTTCCAAGGATATCAGTACTTTTTGTACCCAAGCCACTTGGCATCTAACCAACAGTAGTGAAAAAGGAATTGACAGCACAAATGCATTGCCCAGAGATGACAGCACTGAAGCACTAAAGATAAAAATAGTGGGAAAAGAAGAAGGAAAAATGGCTGATAAAAGCAAGGCAGATTCTAGTATGTTAATTCAGACCACAGAGATGACTTTAAAAGACATCACTAAAGAAACACAGAAATCTTGGGAAAATGGAAAAAGTGAAAAAGGTACATTCTACGATTCAAGTTCTGTTGATGCAACTATTGTAGCTAAGGATTTGAGGACTCCAAGTTTCCAAGAAACCAAAAATAGACTGCCTGGTGATGAAATAGATCTTCAAATTAATTATGTGCAAGATTTAAGAGATGTTCAAAATATGCAACCAGATAAAGATAATAATGCCCATGAAGAAGGTGCAGTGACAATGGGGGCACATGAGGCACTTTCCATCTTACCAGAGTTAAAAGACAGTAGTTTTGAGGCAGAAAATGAGATGCCTCTTATTCCTGAGAGAGTAAATGAAGCTGAAAACTGTGCTCCCAAAGCTATCCCATGTCAACCATCTGCTGTGTATGCTAATACATCACCCTCAGAGGCATAAAATAGTGAACAAATTAACTCAAATAATAAGCACTTTTAACTTTAACTTTCTTCAAAAGGACACACAAATACCCCTGATTTTGCATGTATTTCAACTGCACTATTTTAGATCCTCATTAACTCATTAATGAAAATACATGATTAAAAATAATGCAAAGATCAAAGATTAAATGACATATTTTGGACACAATTAATTGACTTTGCTAAGGAATGAGAAAATGGGAAAGAATAGGTTTGTGTAGTCCTGGGAAAGAAAAAAAAATGTTTTTTAAAAAGCCATAAGCAAATGAAAGATTTAAAAAAGAAAAAAGTACTTAAGCCGATTTACACTTGATGTTTATTTTATGGAAATTACCATACACATCTCAATTAGTGATATTACAATACTGCTTTCTACACAGATGATTATATATATGCATTTGTGCCTGATCGGTTTTCTTAGCTATGGTATGAAAGTAAAAATTAAGCTTTGTTAACCATAGTCTAACTGATGTGCATATTGGTATATTTCAACCATTTGTGATTGTTGATGATAGTTATCCTAGATCTAAATTTTAAAAATCTTTAAGAGAAAAAAATAAAGGATTTGCGGCAGTAGTGGACCATTTCCGTAAAATCTGTAAAATTCTATAAATCCACTAGGTGGCAATCTCAGCTTCAATCATTTTAGAAGAACAAATAGGACTTCAAGATCAACACAATGGATTCTGAATTAAAGGAATTTTAAAAAGCCTTATTGCCAGTTGTTATCAACTTAAGATTTTGAAAACTAAATAACCCATCACTATGTAAATTTTCAAAGGTCTGACCTCTTGAGTTTATGATGCCACTATTGTTTGATGTATATTTAGGAATTACATGTGCTTATAAATACCGATTTAAAAGCAATAGCAGAACACATTTCTCACTCAAAGTCACAATTATTTGAAATATAGGTAAACTAAAGACATTTTTAATATTGATATGCCAGTAAAATGTTGGAAACATACCTTCATGGTATAGAATATTAGAATATTTTACATTTCCCAGTGAGATAAAAAGACTGTAAAAGCGAATAACTTCCTCCTTCTATCTCTCTGTATGTCTAGGTCTCTGCATCTTTGTATTCTACATTTGGCACAAGAGACTAAGATTAGAACAGTGTAAATCGTGCTTACATGCCCACCCATCCTCTGTCTTTCTTACTCAGAATTGCCACCAAATGACTTAACCTTCTTATTTTGAAAGTTATACTAACCTATTACCTCTCTATTTTCTGCTTTCTCACTGGATTCAACATGTTTCTTGCTTTTAACTCCAACTCCTCTCCCCTCTGTTTTTGCTCAGCTTCTCTGCTTGAGTTTAAATCTGATATGCCCTGTCCGACTCGCCCTCTCCCACTTCATTTTGCTAAGTTCCTTCCTGGTGAGAAGAGCATTATGGCAACTTCTTGTATAATACATTTATCCTATTCTAATTGACAGCACCTTCAGTTCTGCAGGCCAGTTTACTTTTTTTCCCCCTCTCCATAACTATGTTTCTTTCCCTCTTTTCTATTTTTTAAGCAGCTTTGCCTTACTGCAGAGCCCTTAGCTTTGTTCTCTGACGACTAACAATATGCCTGATGTCAAATAGCCCATCACGTACTCTGGTCACTAGCTGAAGTTCAGAAGGCAGTGATGACAGTTCTCCTGGACATTTTCCTCTCCTATTTTGTAAATCCAGTCTTTCACCTCCCTATGATGTTATGTTTCCTTTGAAGTAGTTCTTAGATTTACCCTTGCTCCTGAGTCCCCATGGTAACCATTGTAGTCTTTGTGTTGTAATCAACTGGATTACTGCAATAGCAGCCTAGCTGGATGCTCTGACTTCAGTGTTTTTTGCTTCCTTTTCAGCCCTCTCATTCTCTGTCTGTATTGGGTACAAATCATCCGTGGTGCTTGTTAAAATGTAAAGTCCATTCCTGAGATTTGATTCAGGAGATTTAGAATAACCCCAAGAATCTTTGTTTAAGCAAACATTCCAGGGTAGTCTGGAACATGTAATATGTAGCCTCCAAACAAAGAAATACTATTTAATTATTCCAGTGCATATGCAAGATAATTCAGTGCCGCCTACATATAATTCTTTAACGTGAATAAATGCTTCATATCAGACTGATGAATTAAAAATATGTTTATCACATCTCTTCACTCTCTTACAGACAAAAATATAATTGCATGTAATTTCATGTCCAATTCCCTATTGTGGTTCCTGAGGCTTTCCAAAATCTGATTCTTTCTTACTGTTAGGACTTTCTCCCACCTCTCACTGTGTTATAAGAAGCACCTGTCATTTCCAACAGACAGGTGTTCTCACTGTCCTCTTCCATCTTCTGTGGATCTTGACCATGTTCTATTCCTTATAGGGCTTGACTAACAAGACACACGTAGGAGATAGTGATGTGTTACAGATTTAAGGAGTGATCAAAGACAGTAGTGAAAGAAAAAAGAATAGTGAAGTCAATAACCTAAAAAATAATAATTAGCAGAGCATGATGTTAGTGTCCTAACATCTAAAGATGAACTTTTTAAAATGATGCCTGATATGGATATTTAACTCCTAAGTGACTATAACATTCAGATAACTAAAATTCAGTCCTTAGTGTCTTTACTCACAATCAATCTGCACATATTCTCTTGGCTTGAACTGTTTCTCTCACCAGCCCCCTTTACTTGACAAACTCCTATTCATGCTTATGATCTCAGCTCAAGTGTCACTTCCTCCAGGAAGCCTTTCCTGATCTACATGATCTCTTTGTCCTCTATTTGTTAGTGTTCCTTTAGTGTACATTCTCATCTAATTCTGTTTCCCCTAATCTGTTACTAAAAACTCAGTAGTGCATTTTTCCTTTTTCAATTAATCTTCATAGGTTCTTAAACCCCATTGAGAGCATAGATCCACTGAATTCTTAACACCTCTTTCTGGGACTCTACAGCAGAGACTCAAAACATAATTGAAATAATGCAAACTAGCCTGTTCTTATTTTTCTCACCACTCAGCTTACTGAGAGTGAGACCTCACTGGCAATGCAATAACTCAGGCATGTCACATACAGAGGCATCTCAACATTATAATGGTGAGTTTTAAGCCAACGTCCACCAGGCTGACAAGACCAGATTTTGCCAGTCAGTCAAAGACTTTATTTTCTGACTATATTTTCTCTGCATCCTCCTCCCTGAATCTTATCCATGTAGTTAGAACCATATGTAGATACACTTCACTGCTTAGAAAAGCCTATTTTATTTTTGACTTCTTAGGTTTTTTTGTTTCATCTGTAATAACACCATAATTTGACCCAATTCTGATTCCCTTTCTCATTTCCTAACTTGTTACTTATGGCATCCATTCTGGCAAGCAAGCAAGAAAGAAAAAGCATACATTTAGAAGTGACTACTGACTTACTTTATCTCCAAATTAAAACTTCCCAATGTCCCTTATCTATAATCAGATTCTACATAAATATATGTAGATTGAGTGGTCAGGAGAAGAGGCTATTTATTACGAGATCCTCAGTCTATGATTTTTTTTCATAAGAGTTTTTGTTTACACTGGTGGGACTGGGTAATGACAGGATCTGAATTTTGACATTAGAAGAATGAGAAACTTGCTTCTTCTTTGCATACATCTGGGCTGATATATTATCCCATTTCTCCTTTGGGGAGATACCTCCTCAGATAACAATGATCTCATTTTATCTACATCCTCACTGAAGACAGGTAACATGCCTGGGAAGGATCAGAGGCAAATATTAAGAAACGGACAATGGCTAGGATGGTTTGGACTGAACCAAATAAGGACAATTATGATTTATGTATGAGGATCTCTACTGTGAAGAATGTACGCTAATTCCCTCAGAACAGAAGAATAATGTGAACTGACATTAAAACACAAATATTTCAATAAACACATGAGCAGGAGAATTCTTAGACACTGTACTAAATTGTATTATCAGGAGAGAAGTTATGAATATCCCCCTTTGTCAATCTGTGAGAAAAATATAAAAAAAAATAAACAACAATCTGTCTGTTCCAGCTAAGAAGAATTTGTTCCTGCAGACAGATGTTCTGGGATTTCATTTTGAAACTGTATGACTGTTACCATCTACACTCTCAGATCTATTATCATATTTAAAAATGTCCTTTTCACTGTTTTACATATCCTACTTTATTTATTTGTTATACAATCTAGATCTCACCATTTGGACTCAAATCTAAGCCCTTAACTACTTTAGCACACAGCTACTCAAAAAGTTAGAGAAAGAATAGGATTGGGTCTTGGCCTCCTTTTGAGCCAGTGCTACTAAAAAGCACTTGTCCCAGAGCGCTTGCCTGCAGGCATGCTGATGGTGAAAAGCCCACACAAATCCATCTTGTGCCAAACTTCTTTCTTCAGAAAATGACTAAGTGTGGCTTAACCATAGTTAATAAAATTGCAGACGAGATGAGACTCTGAGTCATCTGTCATACCCTGGTCTCTTTTTTACTAATCAGTTGTGAGAAACATTTCAAAATCAGAGAGCAGCAGCAGCAAAGAAATATGAGATTCTTGAGGCAATTAGAGTCTAAAAGAGCAGAAGGCAAATCAGTCTTCCCGCCTTGACAGTCTTAAAATACACCCTGAAAGTAGACTTTGGAGTTACACTATTTGTGACAGATTTTGACCATAACACATTTTCTACGAGGAAATAAAAATTACTCACTTCAGGACATGCATTCCACCCTCGCATCAGCAGTGATGATATGGGTTTGGGAATGGAATAGCCAATGGGAGGTCGGATGTGATGGTAAGCCATGTCTGCTGCGGCTGCCGCTGCAAACCAAGTGACCATGTCAGATTAAAAACTCACATATTTAAAGAAACATATGGACAGACAACAAAAAGTCATCAAAAAATCTGTGCAACATCAGCAGAGACTCAATGTGGTGGCCGCTATTTTTTAATGCTTAAACCTACTAGTCGATCATTTGATACCATAAAATTAATTCATTCATTAGGTTTTTCACTCAACAACAGTGAATAAAGTGAATTTACAAAGGTGGAAAAGAACAAACAGTAAGTAGCTTAGTGTGTGTGAAGTGTAGTGTGTATATGTGATATTATAGGAAAAATGAGGCAGATTGAACCAAACACCATTATCAATCCAGGCTAAAGAGCTTATACTTCACAAGACACTGAACTTTGCCCTTCTGAAAGCACCAGTATCACTTGGGCAAAGTAGATTGTTTTTACAACTTAAATCCCCATTACTTGTTATGAGAATGTTGTGTTTTTAATTTTTAATATTTTACAAAGTACCTAATATTTGCTA